GTTTGAAAGCCCCTGATGCCATGTAAAGCATTGTCCCAGCCGCTGGAGCATGTGGCAGTGAGAGATTATCTTGGTGTGGTCTTATGCAGTCACTGTACTTCAGTCTCCAAGTCTTCATGCCTTTTATAATCAATGGTGAGAGTGTTGCTTGGTGGTTAGAACATGCTGCATCCTGGTGTCTCCAATCGTTCTGTGTAAAAGGGGAATAATAACTGCTTTTCCATATAGCTTTTCCTGGTCCTGTGGTTGGTAATAGGACTGTTAGAAGTAGGTTTTATTCTGTAGTCTTTTAAAACACTTTGATCTTAGCAAGAGGAGACTGCAGATGTGAAGGAGTTTGGACTGAAAGCTTCTAGAACAGTGTTTCTCAACATTTCTGCATAATTCTATGAGAATTTTCGCACCAAACTGAAAAGGAAAATTGTTCCTTGCTGTACTAAGCATTTTGCTAAATACTGTTCATTCCCGATAGCTAAAATAGCCTAAATACCATGAGGGCTTCTTCCTAACCTATAACTATGTTAATGCCTTTCTTGCCACAGGGGTAGTTTCTCCCAGTAAAAAAGCCAAAAAATTGCACACTGCAGAATGCATACCACAGACGTTGCCAACAAACTGCTCATGCAACCTCCCTGCAAAAACGAAGCATTTACAAGGCTGCCTTGCTTTGGGGAAAACTTTCAGTGGAAAACAGTTGCTGTGAAAGGAAAATCTGCTATGATGGAAGTGTTTGATTAGGTTTGGGTGCTTTGTTGGACCTTTAGGTGCACAGGATCTGCAAAGTGCGTGTGGCAAAAGACTCTTTTCTAGTAAACACTCTGTTACTTTGAGCTTTATGGAACTCTGCAAATAGTTTAAATAGGCTGTGAGCATGGGGAGAGGATGGTCCTTCTCACAGACCTTGGCATTTCCAGCTCTGATGACATGAGGGTTGGTTGTGTTTGGATACCATTTGGTGGTTAGCCTACCTTCAGAGTAACAGTTTGTCTGCCTGTCATTTCATAGTTACTCGGTTTAGATAAGGTAGGAGAGATTTGTATCTTTTGAGTTCTGAAGAAAATAAAATAAGACTCTGTATCAGGGCCTAAAGCTGAAGATCTTGTCTTAAATTCCTAATGAGATCCTAAATTAAGGTTGACCTGACTGACACAGAACTGCAGGCTGGGTGGGGGGAGAAAGGGGGGAAGAGGGATGTCTTATCTGCTCTTCGCAGACAAGAACTTGTTATTATCTCTCCTGGTAACTTTAACAGAGATTATGGAAAACAACATGTATGTTTCCGTGAGTTTAAGCACATTCCCTAGGTAAGAAGTGTTCAGGAAATTCATCTTGGGGCCCAGTGTGATGCCACAGTTCTGCTTGTAAATCCATAGCACAAGCTCAGGAGAAACCTTCCTGATCATGGTGTTTTACTGCTTGCACAGAACAGGCCAAAGAATTTCCTGCCCAAACTTGAGGTTGTTCTACTGATTTATGTTTCTGAATTTAAACTTTCCCCTTTCAACTTAATATAACTCAAATGAATGTAATGCATCTTTATAAAATGATTTCATTGCAGGGGAGAAAGATAATTCTATGCACTTATGGTGCCTGAAATAGTGATAAGATGAGGCTTGTGGGCTAGCACATCTTAACCACTGCTTTCTAGCCCTGTTAAATAATCAAAAATAACACTTACATTACAATTTTATTGCATTTCATTGTTCTAAAAGTGGAAAGTGTCCCTGCCTGTGGCAGAGGGGTTGGAATCAGATAGAATCATAGAAATGTCACGGTTGGAGGAGACCTCTAAGATCATCAAGTCCAACCATTAATCTGCCACTGCCAAAACCCCTATACCCTAAACCAGATCCTCCAGCATCAGATCCAGAAGCCTCTTAAACACTTCCAGGGATGGTGACTCCACCAAGTTCCCTGGGCAATATTCCAGTGCCTGAACACCCTAACAGTGAAAATTTTTTCCTAACATCTAATCTGATCTCCCCTGTCTCAGCTCATGACCACTCCCTTTAGTCCTCTCCCTGCAGCCATGGCAGGAGAGACATTCCCCACCTCTCTCCAACCCCTGTCAGGGAGTTGTAGAGGGCCATGAGGTCACCCCTGAGCCTCTTCTCAAAGCTAAATAAACCCAATTCCCTCAGCCCTTCCTCACTTAACGTGTTTTCCAGACCTTTTCTGAGCCTTGTTGCCCTTGGCTGGATTCGCTCCAGTGCCTCAATGTCCTTTTTAAATGAGGGGCCCAAACCTGAACACAGCACTCTAGGTCTGGCCTCACCAGGGAGATCATCAGTTCCCATGTCCTGCTGCCACACTATACTTGATACAGGCCAAGTGCCATTGGCCTTCTTGGCCACCTGTGCACACTGTTGGCTCACACTGAGCCACTGCCACCAGCACTCCCAACTCCCTTTCTGATAAACAGCTCTCGAGCCACTGCTCCCCTGGTCTGTAGCACTGCATGGGGTTGTTGTGTCCCGAGTGCAGGACCAGCACTAAGCCTTATTGTACCTCATGTGGTTGTCCTCAGCCCACTGATCAAGTTGGTCCAGGTCTCTCTCTAGATTTTCCTACCCTCAGGCAGATCCATGCTCCCACCCAACTTAGTGTCATCTGCAAATTAACTGAGGGTGCACTCAATCCCCATGTCCAGATCATCAGTAAAGATATTAAACAGGATTGACCCTAATACTGAGCCCTGAGCAACACCTCTAGTGACAGCTCCAGCTGGATTTAGCACCATTCACCACAACTCCCTGGGCCACGCAGACAGTTTTTTACCCATAGAAAATCCACCCATCCAAGCCACTAATAGCCAGTTTTTCTAGCAGTTTGCTGTGGGAGACAGTGACAAATGCCTTGCTGAAGTCCAGACAGACCACATCCACAGCCTTCCCTTCATCCACTAAGCAGGTCACTTTGTCATAGAAGGAGATCAGGTTGGTCAAGCTGGACCTTCCTTTCATAAATCTGTTGACATAGCAAGTCATTAACCATCTCCTCCTGGATTATGGGGACTTCACTCATCTCTCCATCACCAACTTTCAGCTCTGGGAGAAGTGAGCTGTCACTCATTCAGCTCCTCATGCTGTCAGGTTTGGAACTAGTAGATGACAAAGATTGGCACAAGATCTTGTTTTGTGACAGACACAGCCACTGTACTTGTGCTTTGTCTTTTGGGCTGTTGTGAAAAGAGCCGATGCTCAGCTCTTCAAGGTGCTGTAGCTTTTTTCCTCTGGTGATTTCTGATGTGGTTATACTTGTCAATAGAGAAATTGCTGGTAGATTGAAAATGTGTGAGCAATGCCAAATGAGCTGTGGCTTAATGCACACAGAAAGATCCTGCTGATTTGGTTGTATTAGTTTAATACTTAATTTCTAAAAGTTATGACCTCTTGGGTTTTTTGAATTGGAAAAGAGCAGCCAAAGAATCAACATATTGATGCCCTTTCAAGCAACAACAGTGAAGGCTAAGCTCATGTCACAAAGGACTGTCTGGGCTGTGTCATATCTTTAGATAGCCAGAAAAAATTGCTCTTGTAGTCATGTTCCGATTTCACAGAGATCTATGCAAACTGTGTTTAGCTTGTGATGGAATAACAATCATATTTATTTCTTGAATAGCACCAAGAGTGATAGTACCACGTGTTTCAGTGCCTAAAAAAATGAAGTGTTTTCTCTGTGTTTGCTCCTTTAACTGCCTTGTTGGCAGGGCATGTGCTGTCCATGGCACAGCAAGGATCTTGCAAGGGCTTTGTGGTGGTTGATTAGAATCTGACAAGGCCATGCAGAAGTAGGGTAGCAAAGTGAGCTCAGCATGAAATGTGGCTGGCCAGGTGGGAAGAAAGCCATTCTCTTACATGTGAGAGTTGGGGCAGTGGAAGGAGTTTCCTGGAGCTGAGCACTATTCTAACTATGCAGATACACAACGTTTATTTGGCTGATCACCTCTCTTTTCACCTCATGCTGACGATGTAGTAGAAAAGAGAAGATTTGGCTTTACATCTTTCATGTGCTGTTCAGTTACACAACTTTTTCGTTTGGGTTTTTTTTGCCTCCTCTCTCCTGTCTCCCACATCTCCATTCTCCAAACTGCTTGTATTCATCTGAAGTGGGGAAATTTCAAAGTACAGAAGCTTTGCCAAAATTTTTCTGTGGTTTTTATCCAAGCTCACTTCTTCTATTTCTGTGGTTTACTTGGGGCTACGTATTCATCTACATGAGATGATGATCAGAGTGGAAAATACAGGCATTTTGTAATTGGCCTAGCAATTACTTTTCATTCTGTAGGAAAAACACAAACATAAAAGTCCTGCTTAGGCTCAGAATATCTGGTTGTCAAAACTCTCTTGCAGAAGCTCCCTGTTGTATCCTTTTTGTAATGAACGGATAACAAGTGGGTTCATTCCCTTGCACAACACTCCTCAAAAAAAACCCCCCCATTGTTTGTTCATATTTTGTTCCATTGTTTATCTTTTATCCCTTTCTAGTGGAATAGTTTTCCTTTTTCTTTCTCCAGTTACTACTATTTTATATACAGGCTGAATTTAACTGTACTTAAAGGTATTTGTAAAGTGCCTGTGACAGAAGAGTTTAGGCATCTCTGTTCTTACATCTCTGGTAACTGAAATCAAAAGAGAGACCATGTTAGTATTTCTGACTGGCTGTGTTGGGTCATTATTTAAGGGGCAAGATGGGAAAGAGGCTGTTGTTGAAGACCTCTGCAAGATTTGGCCGAAGTTGCTGTCAATGGCACTAGGTATTTTCATCCCTCCCTTCTCTGCCTTACACTTTTTCTTTCTCTTCACATTGCAGGACTACTTCAGTTCCTTCATCATCTTGCAATATATGTCCATGTCACAACCTAACACTGTGGGGAACTGCAAGTCCAAGGCTGACTCTGCTTTTGCTGCTGAGTCTTTGGGTTTGAAGACTCATTGACATTGCTTCGACCTTCCAAAGCAGAGACTTTCTGATGGTCCTGCTGCACTCCACCTGACCCTATGAAAGGAGGGTTCACCATAACTCCATCCTTTGCTCCTCAGTTCCACAAGATGGGTTCGTTCAGAAGGCCTCGACCTCGCTTCATGAGCTCCCCTGTCCTCAGTGATTTGCCTCGGTTCCAGGCAGCTCGGCAGGCTCTGCAGCTCAGCTCCAACTCTGCCTGGAACAGGTAAACGGGACCCACCTGGGCTGAGCTCCTGCCCTGCAGCAGATCTACAGGCAGGGCCACGTGTGTCTGATCTTTGTGCTTCACACCATTTATGGCTAAGGTTGTCTGTTTATAACATGCACTAAGTTTTGGCATGGCCAAGCTTTCCTGGCATTGAAAGCATTCCATGGAGATGAAAAATTTAGACCTAGTAGTGTTCAGTTGGTTTTGGCCAGCATTGTTCAGTGGTACTGCCTTGAAGTAAAACAGAATTGTTTTTTCTTGACAGTGGCATCTTTTAAGTACCATTTAGGAAAGCACATTCCTAGTACTGTAATAAATGCCAGCTGCTTAATTCACAAAGGCATTTATTTGCATATTATGAAGCTTTTATCACAGTCAAGTTCCTATGACAACTACAGTGCTTCTGTTGGCATTTCCTATTGACAGCCAACTCCTGTCTCCAGTGCATGTCATGCAGCAATGGCAACTGGAAAAACAACATGAAGGGTGAAGAGTGAGATGTCCTGTGTTCTGATCTTATCTCACAGTCTGCTGCTACCAAAAGTGTGTATTCCCATCTTCCCTTCTGTGACCTGGCACCAACTCTGTGCTCTGCAGACACCTCTGTCTTGCTGACCTAGCTCAGTTTACCAGTGTCACACAAGTAGTCTGGCAAAAACATTGCAGTTTTGTGCCATGATACTGAACTGAGGTCTGTGTAGCATGTGGATGTCATGACTGGCCCACAGAAGGGAATACTCATTAAGAGAACAGCACCTCCTCTTATTAGTTGTGGCAGTTCTTGAGACCTGCTAAACCATCTTGTATGCTGTCACTTGATGACTTCCTCTGCGTTGGTGAGAGAGGTATGAATTAGAAGATATTCCAACAGCATCTTACAAGCATTAACAGGGCTTAAACTTGTGCCTGACTGAGGTGATGCTGACTACAGAATGTCTTCCAGCACAGCCAGGATCTTGCCCGATGCTGCAGATTGGGTGGTTCCTGCTAGCATCACTGGATAATGCAGTGTGATGTGTTTGGCAGATACTGCCAAAAATCTGTGTCTCATTGTAGCAACTAGCCTGCAGCACACAGCAAAGATCCCCTAAACACTTGTGTTCAAGATATATCTGGCATGAGCAGTGTCCCTGTAATGACTTTCCCTTGCTTATTCTAGGCACAGCTGGAGGTTGGTTCTGCTCTGGCTCCCAGGAGGGGAGTGATAATTTCCAGGGGAGAAAGAGTGGAAGTATTTAAGGGTAATTAACTTCTCCACCTGGTTATAACCACTCTGCTTTTGGTGTCTAGCTTACATTGTGCTCTGATAAATCATACTGATAGCTGTTATTTATGGGTGTTGAACTGTCCCATTTCTTTTTTTGGCAGTGTCCAAACAGCAGTGATAAATGTATTCAAAGGGGGAGGATTGCAGAACAATGAACTTTACACTCTCAATGAAAATATCAGGTAGGTCACAAATATGCATGAATAGGGATTTTTTTGCTTCTTGTTTGGTGTTTGCTTGGGTTTGTTCCCCTACAGAACCACAGTTAGAGGATATTAGTGGGAGGAGCAGGGATCAAAGCAAACTTAAGCACAACTTTGGGGTTTCAGCCTAACTTACTTCTTTTTTGCTATTGGATGAAGTGAATGGCATGGGGTATTTGGATAGTGTTTCTCTGACTGGTGTGGGTATGTGCTTTGACAAGGACAAGTTGTGTATTGACTTAGATTGTAAGGTTTTTGTCCCTTCCTAGGGACTATGCCTCTTCTGTCTGTTTTTAACACATTTTAATCAGGGAAATCATGATGGCAGTAGCATCTCTTTTCTAAACACAATCTTCTCAGAGCCATGGCATGTTTAAAATTAAAGCAAACCACAGCATTTCATTTAAAAGATTAATCTTCACATGATTATTGTAGAGCAAGACCTGAAAATATGAACACTAGAGATAAAACCCCTAAAAGCCGAACAAACATTTTCTGTCACTGATGCTAGTGATGATTAAAAGTATGATTTTTTTTTTAAAAAAAGCAGGTTTCATGATTATCTATGGTTTCATTCTGATTAGCTGGAAAGTTTTATTAGCAATAGATAGGACTGTAGGGTAGATCGAGAAGAATTTATTTTGGCCTTGGTTCCAAGTGATGCTAAGTGGAGTATTGTCAGGGCTCATGCATGTTCCTTCTTCTCTCTTTACCACTACATCCATAGTAATTCATCAAGAGTGTTGTATAGGTCTCTGCTTCTCCTTTCATATGTCCCCATCCCATCCTTATTGCATTTTTTCTGAGCTCCAAGATTTAAATGGCAATTTGAGCTAAGCACCAACAGTCTAAACTACCCCTTTCCCT